CATAGAGGAAGTCTGGATTAACCGTTGCCATGGCTTTAACCCTGAGGCATACTGTGCAGAATGAAGTCAGAACATTTAAATCAAGTATGTGTATAAGACTTATCAAGCAATAGAGAATAGTGAGGATAGGCTTCAAGACAATTCAAGGGGGAAAGGATGTTTGGCACCATTCTTTGGGCTCTCTGTATGTTTAATATTAGCTAATTTGCTTCTGATAATGGATTGTACTTAAACATCTTTTGAGATATTGCAAATATCTCTATAAATAGATACTTTTAATATCTTATACATTATATTAGTATATGTAATATCTAATAAATTCCCAAAGACTTCTGTAAATAGAAAGTATGGGGTTATGAAGATAATTAGTGGAATTAAGATGTGAAGGAATGCATCTAAGATGGTGGTCTCAGGAAGAAGGTGAAAATAGAACCTGTTAATACCCTGGCCAGTGGGGGCCACAGTAATTTTTATATTACTACAGTTAAAATATTTATTAAGTCAATTTAAAATTAAGCAAACAAATTAAAACATGATGAAGATAGGAAATGAGAAACAGCTTCTTTTGTGAAAAACAAAACAAAACAAAACAAAACACCAGAGGACATCTGTACCCTTTAAGTAGCCTGAGTTTAACTTCTTTGAACTTCATGGATAAAATCAGTGGTTTTGAAAGGAGTTTTATATTTCATATGGCTTGATGATAGGAGGTAGATTTTAGAAAGGTGGTAAAGAGATGGCAAATAGGTTGGATGCCAGGATTTTAAATTCTTCCCTCTTCCACTACTCACTCAACAAAACATATGGACTGGTCATCATTCGTATACTCTGAGATTTTTGAATTAGATGCCATTAGAAAGAGGGCCATACTGCTAAATATAACATTTCAAAATATTTGTTCTGGAATATCTTTAAGGATTTATTTGATTTCAATATTGTGTAAATTCCTATGCCTAGAAAAATCTACTCCAAATCTGTGACAACAGGAGAACAGATGGGTTGGTTTACCTTCTCTGGACTCCTGTTTCCTGTAGGTTCGAATAAAATAATTGTCACTTTTAGGTTAGGATTTTATGTGCATTCATGGTTTGGCATTCTGCAACCAAGAATAGAAAAGACTATCTGGGCAGCCAGCATGTCCATAGGACCTGACATTATAAAACTACTTGGGATTCTGCTGATCATGGGTCTAATAGGTTTCATGCCCAAGAGCAGAATGTAGGCAAAGCTGGGGCAGGAACTTCATTATATGTTGGTGAGATTGTCACAATGCATTCGTGGAGCAAGGTGTGACACCTAAGGGCAGGAAGTGAGGAAGCTTAAGATAGTAATACATGGAGAGAGAAGTCAGACCTGCATTCTGGTTCTTGTTCTATTTGCAAGCAGCCTGGTGACTTAGAAAAAGCTCCTTAACCTTACTTTATAATGGAGATCTTCATCTGTAAATGAGATATGTGTACTACTTAAACTCTGTGGGTCTCTCTTGGACAGGAAGGATGCACAATAAAGAATTCTAAAAAAAAATAATTCTCATCCACAACTTTTTTATATTTGATTTTGAGGATATATCTGAAATGATAAGATACAGTGGGGTCAGGGTTGGCTACTCAGGCAATAATCTAAGGAATCGTGTTGTTTTGAAATTAGGATTTAATTTTGCTCTCTTTTGAACATCTGAAAATATTCTAATTTTTGTAGGCTTTAACATATCGGGAGAGCTTTGGGAATACCGATATCTGAGCCCCACTGCAGACCAATTAAATCAGAATATTTGGGAGCATTTGGATTTTGGATTTATTTAAAAATCTCCCCAGGAGAATCTATTGTTCAATGTTGAGGATTTTTGTGTTGAAGGAGTTTACCACAATTTAGAAATGCTAAGTAACTACCACACTATTTGTGCTGAATTTTAGTAGGGAAGGTAGCTCACAGAAATTGTTGAGATGAGAAAAAACACTTTCTTATTGCAGTGTGGAGGCACTGTGAATATAAATGCAATGGAAGTCCTATCAGCAAAAGAAAGGATTATAAAAACTTCTGTAGCCAAAATTTTACCTTTGTACTTGGGATTTTTTTATAGACCTGAGGATGAATTTGTGTGCTTCAAAATGTTGAAGTTTATTTTTATTTATAGACATTCCCGATGTAGCCATAACTGATATATCTGAGTTTAATCACTTCTTGGTCCTTCTGCAAACCACTTTTGGAAACCACGAAGAGATAGAAAGCCTTTAATTCTATATAACTTCAGGTTGTGTATAGGTAGGAAAAAATAAAGATATAAGTGTTTATGACAACTACACATGGCTAGGTATGGGCAATTCAAACTGTAATAAGTGACAGATTTAATATGAAATGTTTATGGACAGGGGTCATTCTGTGAAAGGAAATGAAATTAAGTGGCCTATTTGCTATGATCTGGAAATACATGCATCAAATAAATAGGGTTAAAATCTCTGTCACTCAAAGCAATGAACACAGTGGGAGTCATCACACTCCCTAGTTGCCCTACATGATGGATTTTTGATGTCTTGAAAAGATCTGGATTTCTTAAAATTGTTTAGCCCAGGAAAGAAGCAGATTTTCATGAGAAACGACCTTCTGGAAATATATTTACAAATGCTTATCGAAATGTTCATTGAAATAAGTTTTGTTTTCTGATGTGATGTGTCATCATTCACAATTTCACTTTCCCTTAGGAAAACACTACCTCGTATCAGTCTTAGATGGCATTTCTTAAAGATGAGCATTACTTAAAAATGTTTACTAATGGTAAGTGATACATGACAAAACAACATGGAGGTAGTATTTTTACTATCATAACTACCTAGAAAAAAAATCTTGAATTTTAGTCTGAAAGACAGATATATTCCAAACTTCTCATATATTTAATGTTTATTGACTGCCTGTTATGTGCAAAGTATTGTATTAAATGATGGAAGGGAATAAAAGGGACTGACTTTTTAGTGAATAGCTAGAATTTTAATTCTACAAGCAGGCTAGATGTTACAAATACAGCAACTAAAACTTTTAAAAAACTCACTCAAGAGAAGGAATGGCACTTGTAAGGGATCCCTGGGTGGCTCAGCGGTTTGGCGCCTGCCTTCTGCCCAGGGGGTGATCCTGGAGACCCGGGATCAGGTCCCACATCGGGCTCCATGCATGGAGCCTGCTTCTCCCTCTGCCTGTGTCTCTGCCTCTCTCTCTCTCTCTCTCTCTCTCTCTCTCTCTCATGAATAAATAAATTTTAAAAATCTTAAAAAAAAAAAAAGGAAGGGCACTTGTAGAGGTGCTCCTAGTGAGAAAATAATGAAAGTTCTTAGCCCACACATCAGATTTTTGAAATATCTTTTAACAGTAGAAGGTATTCCTTTTAGGGCTAAACTCACTTTTCTTTTCTTTACTTATCTTTTTTTTTCTTTTCTTTTTCCTTCCTTCCTTCCTTCCTTCCTTCCTTCTTCCTTTCTTTCTTTTCTTTCTTTCTTTCTTCTTTCTCTTTCTCTCTCTCTCTCTCTCTCTCTCTATCTCTCTCTCTCTCATTTCTTTCATTTGTAAGTAATCTCTACACCCAGCATAGGGCTTGAACCTACAACCCTGAGATCAAGAGTCACCTGCTTGGGGCACTTGGATGGTTCAGTTGGTTAAGCATTCAACTCTTGATTTCAGCTCAGGTCACGATCTCAGGGTGGTGAGATCAAGCCCCACCTTGGGCTCCATGCTCAGTGGGGAGTCGGCCTGAGATTCTCTCTCCCTCAGCCCTCCTCCCCACATGTTCTCTATTTCTCAAATAAATAGATAAATCTTAAAAAAAAAAAAAAAGTCACATGATCTACCGACTGAGCCAGCCTGGCACCTCAGGCTAAGTTTCTTACAGACTTTTGAGACTTTATTTTAAATCTCCTATATGACTTGACTTTTTTTTTAACATTTTTTACATAAATTCAATCTGCCAACATATAGTATAACCCCTGATTTTTTTTCTAGTTCATTTTAGTAAAAAAACCTCTACCAATTGCTTATTTATAAGAGTTACAATGTTAGATGATAGATATCACAAAGATAAATACATTACTTGTCCTCAAGAAAAATATATGCAGAAATGGGCTATTGCCTGATTAATCCAAAAAGATGATCTTAAAGATTTACCTTGATTGTTTTGATGACAATTTACTTATAATGACTAAATGTGGGAACAAAAACTGATAAAGAATTTTCTTAGGATTTTTATATTATTTATATCATACTATCATTTTATATGTTGTAAACATTCTTTATAACAATATTAAAATAGTAATACACATTCTAATTTTTTGAAGGTCCTGTATATTGTGATTTGGTTGTAAAGCAAGTCCTGCCATGTGAAAAATAACTAAGCTGATTAATTTTAAATATTGTTTCCTTAATAGCACAGGAAACCACATAATTGACTTTATCAAATAATCTAGTATTAATTGTTCCAAATCGTTATGGTTAAGTCATGAGTTAATTTTGCAATGGCCATTAGTTCTGATAGAGTATCTGAACTTATAGTTGGTTTACTTTTCTGAAAAAATTCATCTTAAAGTTACCAAATATTTTCTTCTTGGCAATGAAAGATGAGAAGACCAGTCACATTGTATAATTTAACTTCAGCCAGAATTCCATGACTCACATGGTTTCTAAATGACAGTATTGATCTAAGTCATTTTGAATTACTAATGCCAGAGAAACTGGATGGTCAGAAAAGGAAAAGCAATTGAAATTGGTCATGCCAATATCTTTTTATTATAAATGACCCAGTTGACAAGTTGAGCATGAGACCTGTTTATAAAGCCATTTCTACATTTTTGCTTTTCAGTTCCACTTTCAATAGTCATGATTTATATTGAGCTACCTCAATTTTGGAACAAAATGTGTTCTTGATTTTTCATTATGCCATATACTGCAAAATAGTCATTTCCAAGGAGGTTTTTATTGACAGGGGAGCTTTCTTAATAAAAAAAAAAAACTGATATACTTACTCTTTTGGAAACAATGGAAGACAAGTCCAAGCCAGTAAATTGGCATTATTGGTTGCACAGACAATCCCAAACAATCTTATAGTGAGCATGGATTCCCTTGGGAGTGACTTTATTTCAAGAGGAAAGTTGATCCTTAAAATAAAAGGTAAAAGTAAGATTATCTACCCAGTTACAATGATATTTCCATAGATTTTTTTTTGGTAATATAATGGTATGTGATAAAATTAACTATTTGAATTGAGGGATCCTTTTGAACTTTTGTGTTTGACCTTTTAAAAATGGAAATTTGACAGAATTACACAGAGTAATGAGATTGGTTATCCAATCAATCGGAATTGCTTTAATTATAATTTTGACTTGTAAGCTTATTTTCAAAAATTACAATGATTTAAGCATTTACTCTTTGTAAACAGCGAGGAAAAAATGACGAACATTGTCTTACGAAATGCAGGAAGGAAGGAAATAATTTGAAATGGGTCTTAAACAGTAAGTTGGCTACAATTAGATACAGATTTGGAAATGAATATTCCAGGAATAGGAAAGTATACAGACAAGTCAGTTATGTACAGAAAGATTAAGTGTAGGAGGAGGGGCAGATGGCGGAAGAGCAGGGTCCCCAGATCACCTGTCCCCACCAAATTACCTAGATAACCTTCAAATCATCCTGAAAATCTACAAATTCGGCCTGAGATTTAAAGAGAGACCAGCTGGAATGCTACAGTGAGAAGAGTTCGCGCTTCTATCAAGGTAGGAAGACGGGGAAAAAGAAATAAAGAAACAAAAGGCCTCCGAGGGGGAGGGGCCCCGCGAGGAGCCGGGCTGAGGCCGGGGCGAGTGTCCCCAGGACAGGAGAGCCCCGTCCCGGAGGAGCAGGAGCTGCACCAACCTTCCCAGGGGAAAGGGGCTCGCAGGGAGTTGGAGCAGGACCCAGGAGGGCGGAGATGCCCTCGGCTCCCTGGGACACTAACAGACACCTGCGCCCCGGGAGAGTGCGCCGAGCTCCCTAAGGGCTGCAGCGCGCACGGCGGGACCCGGAGCAGCTCGGAGGGGCTCGGGCGGCGGCTCCGCGGAGGGGGCTGCGGGGCGGGAGCGCGAATCCACCAGCGCAGGCCCCGGAGCACAGGGCGCCGGGACACAGCCCAGGATCCGGCCTCCCCCGGGACAGGCAGAGGCCGGGAGGGCCCAGGACAGCAAGGACGCTCCTGCCCCGAGCTGAGCACATCAGCGGCCCCGCCCCGGAGCCTCCAGGCCCTGCAGACGGAGAGCCCCGTAGTTCCTGCGGAGGCTGAATCCAGGCTTCCAGAGCTGCCGTAACAACTGCGGCTGTTCCTCCTGGGGCCTCACGGGGTGAACAACCCCCGCTGAGCCCTGCAGCAGGCAGGGGCAGAGCAGCTCCCCCAAGTGCTAACACCTGAAAATCAGCACAGCAGGCCCCTCCCCCAGAAGACCAGCTGGACGGACCAGTTCCAGGGGAAGTCAAGGGACTTAAAGTCTACAGATTCAGAAGATACTCCCCCGTGTTTTTTTTTTCTTTTTTCTTTTCTTTTTGATTTCTGATTGCTTCCCCCACCCCCCCTTTTTTTTCACCTTTCTTTCTTTTTCTTTCTCTTTTTCTTCTCTTTTTTTTCCTTTTTTTTCTTCTTTTTCTTTTTTCTTTTTCTCTTTTCTTTCCTTCTCTCTCTTTCTCTCCTTTTCCCAATACAACTTGTTTTTGGCCACTCTGCACTGAGCAAAATGACTAGAAGGAAAACCTCACCTCAAAAGAAAGAATCAGAAACAGCCCTCTCTCCCACAGAGTTACAAAATCTGGACTACAATTCAATGTCAGAAAGCCAATTCAGAAGCACTATTATACAGCTACTGGTGGCTCTAGAAAAAAGCATTAAGGACTCACGAGACTTCATGACTGCAGAATTTAGATCCAATCAGGCAGAAATTAAAAATCAATTGAATGAGATGCAATGCAAACTAGAAGTCCTAACGACGAGGGTTAACGAGGTGGAAGAACGAGTGAGTGACATAGAAGACAAGTTAATGGCAAAGAGGGAAACTGAGGAAAAAAGAGACAATCAATTAAGGGACCATGAAGACAGATTAAGGGAAATAAATGACAACCTAAGGAAGAAAAACCTACGCTTAATTGGGGTTCCCGGGGGCGCCAAAAGGGACAGAGGGCCAGAATATGTATTTGAACAAATCCTAGCTGAAAACTTTCCCAATCTGGGAAGGGAAACAGGCATTCAGATCCAGGAGATAGAGAGATCCCCCCTAAAATCAATAAAAACCGTTTAACACCTCGACATTTAATAGTGAAGCTTGCAAATTCCAAAGATAAAGAGAAGATCCTTAAAGCAGCAAGAGACAAGAAATCCCTGACTTTTATGGGGAGGACTATTAGGGTAACAGCAGACCTCTCCACAGAGACCTGGCAGGCCAGGAAGGGCTGGCAGGATATACTCAGGGTCCTAAATGAGAAAAACATGCAACCAAGAATACTTTATCCAGCAAGGCTCTCATTCAGAATGGAAGGAGAGATAAAGAGCTTCCAAGACAGGCAGGAACTGAAAGAATATGTGACCTCCAAACCAGCTCTGCAAGAAATTTTAAGGGGGACTCTCAAAATTCCCCTTTAAGAAGAAGTCCAGTGGAACAATCCACAAAAACAAGGACTGAATAGATATCATGATGACACTAAACTCATATCTTTCAATAGTAACTCTGAACGTGAACGGGCTTAATGACCCCATCAAAAGGCGCAGGGTTTCAGACTGGATAAAAAAGCAGGACCCATCTATTTGCTGTCTACAAGAGACTCATTTTAGACAGAAGGACACCTACAACCTGAAAATAAAAGGTTGGAGAACCATTTACCATTCAAATGGTCCTCAAAAGAAAGCAGGGGTAGTCATCCTTATATCAGATAAACTAAAATTTACCCGAAGACTGTAGTGAGAGACGAAGAGGGACACTATATCATACTTAAAGGATCTATCCAGCAAGAGGACTTAACAATCCTCAATATATATGCCCCGAATGTGGGAGCTGCCAAATACTTAAACGAATTATTAACCAAAGTGAAGAAATACTTAGATATAATAATACACTTATACTTGGTGACTTCAATCTAGCTCTTTCTACCCTCGATAGGTCTTCTAAGCACAACATCTCCAAAGAAACGAGAGCTTTAAATGATACACTGGACCAGATAGATTTCACAGATATCTACAGAACTTTACATCCAAACTCAACTGAATACACATTCTTCTCAAGTGCACATGGAACTTTCTCCAGAATAGACCACATACTGGGTCACAAATCGGGTCTGAACCGATACCAAAAGATTGGGATCGTCCCCTGCATATTCTCAGACCATAACGCCTTGAAATTAGAACTCAATCACAAGAAGAAGTTTGGAAGGACATCAAACACGTGGAGGTTAAGGACCATCCTGCTAAAAGATAAAAGGGTCAACCAGGAAATTAAGGAAGAATTAAAAAGATTCATGGAAACTAATGAGAATGAAGATACAACTGTTCAAAATCTTTGGGATGCAGCAAAAGCAGTCCTGAGGGGGAAATACATCGCAATACAAGCATCCATTCAAAAATTGGAAAGAACTCAAATACAAAAGCTAACCTTACACATAAAGGAGCTAGAGAAAAAACAGCAAATGGACCCGACGCCCAGCATAAGAAGAGAGTTAATTAAAATTCGAGCAGAACTCAACGAAATTGAGACCAGAAGAACTGTGGAACAGATCAATAGAACCAGGAGTTGGTTCTTTGAAAGAATTAATAAGATAGATAAACCATTAGCCAACCTTATTAAAAAGAAGAGAGAGAAGACTCAAATTAATAAAATCATGAATGAGAAAGGAGAGATCACTACCAACACCAAGGAAATACAAACGATTTAAAAACATATTATGAACAGCTCTACGCCAATAAATTAGGCAATCTAGAAGAAATGGACGCATTCCTGGAAAGCCACAAACTACCAAAACTGGAGCAGGAAGAAATAGAAAACCTGAACAGGCCAATAACCAGGGAGGAAATTGAAGAAGTCATCAAAAACCTCCCAAGACACAAGAGTCCAGGGCCAGATGGCTTCCCAGGGAAATTCTATCAAACGTTTAAAGAAGAAATCATACCTATTCTACTAAAGCTGTTTGGAAAGATAGAAAGAGATGGAGTACTTCCAAACTCATTCTATGAGGCCAGCATCACCTTAATTCCAAAACCAGACAAAGACCCCACCAAAAAGGAGAATTACAGACCAATATCCCTGATGAACATGGATGCAAAAATTCTCAACAAGATACTAGCCAATAGGATCCAACAACACATGAAGAAAATTATTCACCATGACCAAGTAGGATTTATCCCCGGACACAAGGCTGGTTCAACACTCGTAAGACAATCAATGTGATTCATCATATCAGCAAGAGAAAAACCAAGAACCATATGATCCTCTCATTAGATGCAGAGAAAGCATTTGACAAAATACAGCATCCATTCCTGATCAAAACTCTTCAGAGTGTAGGGATAGAGGGAACTTTCCTCGACATCTTAAAAGCCATCTACGAAAAGCCCACAGCAAATATCATTCTCAATGGGGAAGCACTGGGAGCCTTTCCCCTAAGATCAGGAACAAGATAGGGATGTCCACTCTCACCACTGCTATTCAACATAGTATTGGAAGTCCTAGCCTCAGCAATCAGACAACAAAAAGACATTAAAGGCATTCAAATTGGCAAAGAAGAAGTCAAACTCTCCCTCTTCGCCGATGACATGATACTCTACATAGAAAACCCAAAAGCCTCCACCCCAAGATTGCTAGAACTCATACAGCAATTTGGTAGCGTGGCAGGATACAAAATCAATGCCCAGAAATCAATGGCATTCCTATACACTAACAATGAGACTGAAGAAAGAGAAATTAAGGAGTCAATCCCATTTACAATTGCACCCAAAAGCATAAGATACCTAGGAACAAACCTAACCAAAGAGGTAAAGGATCTATACCCTAAAAACTATAGAACGCTTCTGAAAGAAATTGAGGAAGACACAAAGAGATGGAAAAATATTCCATGCTCATGGTTTGGCAGAATTAATTTTGTGAAAATGTCAATG